GTCATCGGTCGATGGCGGTCTGAGTTCAGGAGCAGGATAAACATGAAGATGATCACAAAGATACCCACGGAGAACATCACCAGGTGGAGACTCCTTCGCCCTGAACACTTCCCCCCCCCCCCCCCCCAGCGGCGTTGAAGCGCAGACGCCATGTCCACCGCGCCGCGGGCAGTCGCACCACAAGAAGAGCCAGGCTGCCCAGCAGATATTCCAACACCAGGTTGGGCAAGCAGCTCATCGCATGCATCAGGTCCCGTCAAGAAACCACTCACCAGCGAACGCGAAGAAGAAGAGGCCGAAAGCGAAGACGTCGCATTAGTAGAGCGGCCAGAACAGCCAACAGCGGCCGCTGAAACCGTAGGCTCGCGAGGCGCGGCCCCAGGGGAGGGCCCGCCATTAAGGTCGCCACTGCCCGCAGGCGTGGCCCGACCACCAAGCGAGTCCGATACAGCGGCTTGAAGACTCCCCCCGCGCGTACCAACAGCGGTCGCTGAAACCGTAGACTCACGAGGCGCGGCGCGGCCGTCATTAAGGTCGCTCCTGCCAGCGGCAGCGGTCCGACCACCAAGTGAGTCCGATACATCGACTTGAAGGGACGCATCATAGACGCGAGGAGCAGACGTCGCAGCGAAAGAAGGCAAGGAACCCAGCCGCGTCGGGGCAGGCTCCACCGATGTCTGCTGAGGGGTGGGTCGTGTCTCCTGCTCCTGGAGGCCCCCAGGAGGAGCACAGTGAATGTCGGCAACTGCAGGAGGCATCGTGGAGCGGCCAGCCGCGTTGTGCCTGATGCCGTTCAGGATAAGCTGGCGGCGCGAGTCACACCATAGACGAGCCCTCCTCGCCGACGTCCTCTGGATCTTGCGCCATTGCTCCCGAGACAATTCAGCAGGCTCACGACGTTGAGGGTCACCGCGAAGTGCTTGTGCAGCCGCGTGGCGTTGGAGCCGTTCGTGCCACTCAGAGTTCGTCCGAATGACCGTCTCAGCGAACTCAGTGGCATTCAAAAGAGAGACTACCCCATTGTCCACATACAAGAACCGCTGGCCATACGCTGTTGTGGCAAAGTAACGAGGCCAGATGGGCATCCTGTTGCCAGATGGCCCGAGCAATACTACGGAGTGCGATCCTCCTCGAGTCTTCCGCCCCGTCTCGTGAGGCGTCCAGAGGCAGCTGTTGGAGCATGTTGCGCACTCGCGCCGCCGCTCTGATCATGACATCTTTGGTGACAGACCAACGTCCAGCCACGGAACAGCCAGTCCAGTCGATGTGTGCCAAGTATTTGTTCAGCTCCACCTTGTACTCAGGAGCACGAAAGACATAGTCGGGAATCGAGCGCTCCATGGGCGGTTTCCTCCCTCTTGGCCGAAGTTGGAGAAGTAGCAAAGCATGGTAACTGAGAGACCAGTCAGACAAACGTGTTGCTTCCTGTTGAACCGAGAGCGTGACCTCAGTTTCGAGAATGAAAGGCGGCGTCAATGAGACAAAAGACCGATCGATGGTCGAGCATGACTGGGCGCGCTTGCAGAAGTGGGTCGGTAGGTTAGAGACCACCTCCACCATCCGAAAGTCAAACAGCGCACGCTAGAATGGCTGGTGCTGTTGTCCACGAACCTCCACATCACGCCGAGCCGCGGGCCTCAGAAGGGAGTCCGGAACAACATCCGCAACGTTAAAGTCGCCCATAGCAATGAAGCAACGATGACGCTCATCTTGTCGGGCCCACACAGCCGCGCGCCGCCGCAAGGCTCGCGCCGCCTGGCGAGCGTGAGCGTCCAAATCGAAGTTATGTACATTCAAAGGGTGAACCGCTTGACCAGCGCCTCGAACTTGCAGAGAAAGGATGCGTCCAGGAACCACGCACCGAGGCAGGAAGGACGGAATAACATCCGAAGGGAGCTTCACGATATCAGCCTCCTTGTACCATGGAATCAAAATCGCAACACCTCCCTTGCCAGATGACGAAGCTGCGCTGAAAAAAGTTCGGCACTCATAAGGAAACTGTCGCAACAGAAAGCTCAAGTCATATTCAGATCCGTGTACTTCTTGAAGTAGAATGTCCGCCCTCATGCGAAGAAAGGGTTCGAGCCTCCTGAGCTTCGAGCGACATGAGGCTCTCTGGCGCCACTTGGAGCTGAGGCCGCAAAGGCCTCTGGCATTCCACGAGACAACCCTGACCTCTTGGCGCGAGCCCTTTTCAAGAGCTGCGATCCGCCACGGCTGGGCCCATTGGCCAGGACCACGACCTGGAGCTGGTGTCCACCGTCTCGAAGGCGCGATTGAAGGCGGCCGTGATGCCCGCCACGTCCACCCTGTGCTGGGCGACCACCGCTTGATTCCATGCCAGCCTTGAGGGCTCGCTGGCACCTCTGACCACAACCTCGACCAGCGGCTGCCCCTCAATGTGCACCAGGCCTCTCGCTCTGGTAGCCCACCAACGCTTGTTGGGCATCTTCTCCTGAGCGATAGCGGCCAATCGTTTAGACTGCTGTTCACGTCTGATCTGCTTAGGGGCTTTGTCGGGGCCAACATACAGAGGACCAGTAGCCCCAGAAAGCTGCCTAGCCGAGAACCTCCTCCACTCTCCCGACGGTAAGCGGAGCGCCTTGGCCAAGGTGATAGCCTTCGAGTTTCCTGAAGCGCCTCCTTTGACCTCCAAGACGAACCGTCTACTGGGTCCTCGAGCGTGCAGCACCGTGTCCTCCGTGTCGAGCTTGGCGTCGTTGGTCCAAGATGCAATGGCCCCGCGTACTTCGTCAGGGGCAACATCATCGGGTGAGTTGATCGTGAAGATCGTGGGATAGGGATCTCTGTCGAAGTCCGCGAGGCGAGCGATGTCAACCGCTGAGTGTTCTTCCTCCGATAATGCCAAGCGATGATTGATCCGACTGATATCCGCACGCATCTCTTTCTGGGCATCCTCCATGGAGAACTGCTTCCGCTGGATGTCGCCGATGGCCAAGTCATGTCCATCAACACGCTGCATCGTCGGAGCGAAGTGGGCCTGAAGCTGCGAGATAATCGTGCCCTGGGCGCGTTGCATCGTGGTGGCCACCGCGTTCTGGACTTGCGCGGTGATGTTCGCCGTGTGCGCCTGCAGCTGAGAGGCGACCACCTGCGATACATAGGTGGCCCAGTCAGGTCCGCCCTCGGCTCCCTCCACGCCATGTCCAGCGGGCATCGTAGGAGTAAGGCCGTCTCGCGGCGTCGCGGTACCCTCCACCTGTTCATGAGGCGAAGCAGGAGGAGTGGCACTCGCAGCAGCAGCAGCAGCAGCAGCCATAGCCCAGGGATCATGCGGGTCAGAACGCTGTTGCGACGGCGGGAATGTGGGTACCTGCGAGAGCCGCACACCGTCACGTTCCATCTCGAAGACAGCGTCCGCCATTCTCTGGTTCGCAGATTCCAACGGCATGCGGGGTGGCCTAGCATCCTCATGGCCTTCACGATCCTGGTGCTGTCGGGTACCGTCCGAGACATTGCGTGGAGGGCGTCGGCGTCGGTCACCTCTTTCCGAGCGCTCACGGCTGGGCTTGTCAGAGCCAGAGGAGCCAGCAGACACAGAAGAAGCAGACTCATCATGATCACGGCGCCTCCGACGACGTTCCGTCTCCCGCTTCGACCGCCACTCCGACCCGCCCATGGCTCACAGGGGAAGAAATGGTCGAATCCCCACGTCGGCGGAAGAGAAGTGAGTGAGGGCGCCCAACTCCCTCCGTGAAGGCGCAGAGAAACACAGTGGTCTGGCCGCGGACCAGCGGTATCCATGCGGCCGCAAGGCGACATGGGTACCTTGAGCCAAAATGGCTACGGAGGAGGAGGAGGAGGAGGAGGAGAGAGAAGGATGAAGGAGGAGTAGGAGAAGAGGGAGCAAGAGGAAGAGGGGGAGGAGGAGAAGGTAAAAGAGGGAGAAACGTGCGAAAACTCAACGAACTGCGAAAACACTCTTCGAAAGGCGAGGTACTCCACAATCCCCCGCTCTGGAGGAGGAGAGGAGGAGAAGGAGGAGGATGATACTCAAGAGGAGGAAGAGGCGATCCCTCAAATAATATCGCCCCCCAGCCTTGCCAAGGGGGGGGGGGCGTTGTTACGAAGCGCTTGAAGGAACGTCAGCCATTGGGTGGAGAGAACAACCCAAAGCAGAGCATCATATAATATCCTCGATCCTCGAGCATTCTCCCCATCTATCTCCTCCTCCTCCTCCTCCTCCTCCTCCTCTTTCCTCCTCCTCCACCCGACTAGGCTCCACTCAAAATCGGTCCCGAGATATATGCTGTGGCCAATCCTGGCGATATGCCCGGACCTGGAGGAGTTGTCGCAGTCCCCAGGCACAGAAGCAGGCCCTCGGAGGCCGCTCAAACTAGGTTGGAGGATCGCGCCGCATCCCCGGTACATCGCCGACGAATCGGAATTGCGTCGGCGACATGGCGATGCATCAGCGATGGTTGCGCGAACATAACCACCGATTCATCGGCGATGCGGAGCGATCCACCGACCCCATCTGCTTCGACCCCATCTGGGTGGCCAGGATCCCCCAGAGGCCGAAACAAGGGCATAACACCATCCTCGAACCTTGGTCATCGCGGAGGGCGAAGAGGAAAGACGAGTTTTTCAACGAGATCTCCTGAGGGTTTCCGCGCTCCGCCGAGTTCTACGAAAGCGGGGCACGCAAATCCGAGATCGCCCTGTGCATGAAAAGGCTCAGGACGAGAACGATGAGGAAAAAGCACGGGAGGCAGAAGAGGCAAAGAGGAGGGAGTGGGCAGCCCGGAGGAAAAACTTTCGGCTTTGGACAAACCTCCCTTTAGTAGACCTCCCTTTAGTGAAAACGGCCTGGGACCGAAACCGACGGACCTGGACCCGCAAAAATGACGGCCGCGACCCCCTCTCGCGAACCGAAAACGGCCAATTCCTTAATCGACGTGTCAGGGTAGGAGGTCTGTCCACCCCCGAAACTTGGACGCCGCGGCTACGGCGGTGGGGCGGCAGCGGCGGCAGCGAGCCTCGGGCGCCTTCAGCACGCCGGGCACGCAGCCGTCGCCGCAGGTCCGCCCTGCTTGCCCCCCTCGGTCCCGCCCCCCCTCCCCCACCCCAGGGGGCCCCCTTCCAGGCCCTGCGGGGCGGCACCCCCAGCGACAGCGAGAAGGGAGAGAACCAGCAAGGGGGGAGGGGGAGAAGGCAGAAAGGGGAGGAGCGGTAGGATGAGGGGAGGGCGGAGGAGGAGAAGAAAGAGCAGGAGAAGGAGGAGGAGGAGGAGCAGGAGCAGGAGGTGGAGGAGGAGCAGGAGTAGGAGGACGAGGAGGAGGAGGAGGACGAGGAGGAGGAGGAAGAAAAAGAGAATGCCCTCTTCTTCTTTGGCTATCCCTCTTCTTCCCCGCCGGTTTGCTCCTCCTCCCCCGTTCCTGCTTCGCTCCAGCTTCGCCCCGCTCCTGGCTTCTCCCTTTCCCTCCCTCCCCGGGCTCGTCCCCCTTACGTGCCCTTGGGCTGGACGCTCCCGCGAGCGCCCTTGCGCGCCGCTCTGCTGCGCCGGCGTCTCAGACATCGCACGCCCTCGGCACGCTCTAGGCGTCCCCCCGAAGACCCCGACCGCTTGTGTGTGGCATTGACTACACCGGGCCGCGCATGCGGTGCGACCCGCGGAAGCAAAAGAGGAAGAGGAGGAGGAGGAGGAGGAGGAGGAGGAGGAGGAGCAGGAGGAGGGGCAGGAGCAGGAGGAGGAGCAGGAGGAGGAGGAGGAGGAGGAGGAAGAGAAACGACCCCATCGAGCAGGTGTTCCGGGAAAGGCCCTCGGGGGCGGCCTATCGGGAGAGCAACTTGCGCATATGGCTGTTGCGGCGGGCATGGACTCGGGCTCTGGCCACGAGGAGCCCGCGAAGTCTCTTCCCGCGGCACTGTCCTCGAGCAAGGAGCGAATTGAACGCGGACAAAAAGGAATCGCGAACCATCACCAAATTGTGTAACTCTCGAACGCTGAGCGGGGGAAACTCATGTAAAAACATCCTCTGGGGGATCGTCGGGTCAATGAAGGAGGGAGGCAGAGCGGGGAGCACAGCAGAGCACAGGCAAGACAGAAGGACGATATAAACAGTGGGTGACAGAATCAAGCCGGGGCCCAAAATACCCGAAACGACACAGACCAGTCTGCTGCCGGAAGCTTCTGGTCGTTTGCCAAACGTTACAGATCGACTTCGACCATGCCGTGGAATGACATGGGGAAAATTTGTCTGCAGCTAGATGCAACTACATGACAAGGCGAGTGGTGACATTAATAGCATCAGGGAGAAAGTGCCGAACCCTCGGGTACAATAGCAGCGTGAGGCTGGGATGGAAGGCCCGCTGAAGCAGGATTTGATCAGCCCGGGCCGGCACCTTTGAGCAATCTTCATCGCCAAGAGCTGGTCGGAGGAGGAGGAGGAGGAGGAGGAGGAGCAGGAGCAGGAGCAGGAGCGGGAGGAGGAGGAGGAGCAGGAGGAGGAGGAGGAGGAGGAGGACGATAAAAGGGCGGAACAGCCGTCCATGGCCGTAGACGCACCGTGCGCGTAAGCATGGAGGTCTACTGCAGGACGCCCGGCGAAGGATAGCGCGGGTTCGGGTGGCCCCACGGGCGCCCATTGCTTCGCCATTCAGGGGGATGAGGAGGGAGGAGGGAGGAGCGATGCGAGGAAGAGGAAGAGGAGGGCGGGGGAAGGTGCGGGAGGGGAAAGAAGACGGGAGGATCACGGTCACGCGGAGTTGGGTTCCCCGAGTGTTCGCGGCTGGCGTGGCTGTGAGCTTCGCTCTTGCCCCTCCACGTTGGCGCTCGTTTGCTGCGTCGTACTCATCGCTCGCTAATATTTCAACGTAAAGGTTGGGACTGCTGATCTTGTCCAAAATTCAAAACCAGGTCGTCTAAAGTTCGCCGTAGCAGCCGAAACACTCAAATCTGTCCAAAACTTCAGACTGCCACCGAACCGAACATCCACAGAGGACATGCCCCACACTGGCCCAAGCTAAACATCGACATGCCTCATGCACCGCAAAGCCCCGCAACGAATCCCCCAGAGGCAGCTCAACAGGAACTGCTTCAACTCGAACGCTCCTCACTCACCGCGCCAGAGAACAACCACCGCTCAACATCACCACATTGACAAAACAAATACGTGGAACCGAGAGTCGTCAAACAATTTGGGACGGCGGAGTGAGCGAAGCGACTCAATCAGCTCGCCTAAAGTTCACCCGAAAAGTTCTGATACATTTCCAAGACTCCAGAAAAATTATCCTGGCAAAGCAACCTAACAGCGATGTGTAGGAGCATATCTGGAAGTATCCCCTTAAGATTCAGATGAGAATCCAGGTGTAGAATTATGTTGTTCTCGCAGTCGTAGTCGCATTCGCGATGACAGTCGCAGTGGCAACGGCAGTCGCAGTCACAGCCTGCCTCAGCCTGCCTCAGCCTCAGCCTCAGCCTGCCTCAGCCTCAGCCTCAGCCTGCTTCAGCCTCAGCATCAGTCTGCCTTCAGCCTCGGCCTCAGCCTCAGCCTGCCTCAGCCTCAGCCTGCATCAGCCTCAGCCTCAGCCTGCCTCAGCTCAGCAGCCTCAGCCAGCCTCAGCCTCAGCCTCAGCCTGCCTCAGCCAGCCTGCCTCAGCCTGCCTCAGCCTGCCTCAGCCTCAGCCTGCCTTCAGCCTCAGCCTCAGTCTGCCTTCAGCCTCGGCCTCAGCCTCAGCCTGCCTCAGCCTCAGCCTGCATCAGCCTCAGCCTCAGCCTCAGCCTCAGCATCAGCCTGCCTCAGCCTCAGCCTCAGCCTCAGCCTCAGCCTCAGCCTCAGCTTCAGCCTCAGCCTCAGTCTGCCTTCAGCCTCGGCCTCAGCCTCGCCTCAGCCTCAGCCTCAGCCTCAGCCTCAGCAGCCTCAGCCTCCTCAGCCAGCCTCAGCCTGCTTCAGCCTCAGCCTCAGCCTCAGCCTCGGCCTCAGCCTCGCCTGCCTCAGCCTGCATCCTCAGCCAGCCTCAGCCTCAGCATCAGCCTGCAGCAGCCTCAGCCTCAGTCTGCCTTCAGCCTCGGCCTCAGCCTGCCTCAGCCTCAGCCTGCATCAGCCTCAGCCTCAGCCTCAGCCTGCCTCAGCATCAGCCTCCTCAGCCTCAGCCTCAGCCTGCCTCAGCCTCAGCCTCAGCCTGCTTCAGCCTCAGCCTCAGTCTGCCTTCAGCCTCGGCCTCAGCCTCAGCCTGCCTCAGCCAGCCTCAGCCTCAGCCTCAGCCTCAGCCTCAGCCTGCCTCAGCATCAGCCTCAGCCTCAGCCTCAGCCTCAGCCTCAGCCCTCAGCCTCAGCCTTCAGCCTCAGCCTCAGCCTCAGCCTCAGCCTCAGCCTGCCTCAGCCTCAGCCTCAGCCTCAGCCAGCCTCAGCCTCAGCCTGCAGCCTCAGCCTCAGCCTTCAGCCTCCTCAGCCTCAGCCTGCCTCAGCCTCAGCCTCAGCCTGCCAGCCTCAGCCTCAGCCTCAGCCTGCCTCAGCCAGCCTGCCTCAGCCTCAGCCTCAGCCTGCCTCAGCTCAGCCTCAGCCCTCAGCCTCAGCCTGCCTCAGCCTCAGCCTGCCTCAGCCTCAGCATCAGCCTGCCTCAGCATTCAAAATGTGGCCCGGGAATGGAGTTCTGGGAACTCGAAGAACACTAAGTGGCCTACAGCTGGCTCTGGGCATTCAAAATCCGCCGACCCTGTCGGCGTGTGCGAGGGGCTTGGCTGTTCGAGTCGTCGTCTCCGTCGGTCGTCGCCTCCGTCGTCCCCTTTCCCTGCAGCTTCCTTCTCAAGCTCGTGAGCGAGAGAAAAATCGAGCAGTGTCGTAATCGAGTCGAAGGGAAGCCCCTTCCCTTTGATCCCTTCCCCAGGGGGGGGGGGGTCCCGGGGGGGGGTCCCGGGGGGGGGGGGGGGGGGGGCAGATTCGTTTTTCCTCGGGCGGCCTAGAAACTCGAAAACACTCCAAATGAGGTCCGAATGCCCCAGATGGCCCCCGAGACGGCCCAAGAGGGCCCCGAGTCGCCCAAAGATCGGCCGAAAACGCCCAAGATAGCCCCAAGACCGTCCAAGAAGCCTCCAAAACGTCCCAGGCCCCCTCCAAGAGACCCCCAGGAAGCCCCAAGAGGCCCCCACGAGGCTTCCAAGCGGCCCCTAAGAGCTTCCCAAGAGGCCCACAAACTACCCCCAAGAGGCCCCCAAGAGCGCTCGTCGTCGTCGTCGTCGTCGTCGTCGTCGTCGTCGTCGTCGTCGTCGTCGTCGTCGTCGTCGTCGTCGTCGTCGTCGCCATTCAGGGTCGGCGGCACCGGCCGTAAGGCCTTCGCAATCATGCCCAGGAATGGAGTTCTGGGAACTCGAAGACCACGAAGTGGCCAACAGTTGGCTCTGGGCATTCAAAATCATGCCCAAGAATGGAGTTCTGGGAACTCGAAGAACACGAAGTGGCCCACAGTTGACTCCGGGTATTAAAAATCATGCCCAAGAATGGAGTTCTGGGAACTCGAAGACCACGAAATGCGCTACTGGTTAAAAAAGGAATCCCCGGATTCCCGGGGCACCCGTCCGGCATCTGCCCAGACCCCCTCTGGGGAATCATGAATCCTGAATCAGTCTTCGCTGCTAGGTAAAAAAACGCCGAATCTGACCCCCCGCCGCTTCGCCCTCGCGGCGCCAGTGCCCCAGGGCCCCCCGACGCGCGCCATAGGGCCCGCGCGTACACTGCGGTGGGACAACTGGCCGACTTGGCGAACAATTCTCGTTCGTCGTCGCTGCACTCTTCTGCGGGCGGCTAAAACGAGCGCGAGGCCGTCGACAAATCGGCGTCGGGGGGTCCCCAAGAACGAGCACCACCAGGGCGAGGCGGCGGAGAAGTCATGATCGGCGCTGTTGTTTTTTAACGTGCTTCCACAAATTATCTGAGCACCCTCGGCAAATTTTAGGCGAACGTTTCTGTGACTCTTGGACCAACGCCAATGTTTAAAATTAGCCTGGCGAAGGGCCCAACCATATGCAACTGCGAATACCGCAATCGCGAGTATCATCTTCACTCGAGCCTCTTATGGGGCCACGAACCGC